AATGGGGGGGTTGTGACCCCCATGACCCCCCCATGGATCCGCCCTTGATCTCTATTTACTGTCCTTCTTAAGATCGTTAACAGAAAATTTCCGAGAGAAAAAATACACACGTAGATGTCTGCAAGCGAATCGATTCAGTTTCCTCCTATTCCCCATTTTTCACTAACGAAATTTGCAAAGAGAAATGTCTAGAATCCATAGCAAAAACAGAGTTTTCTGAAATGTATTAACAAAAATCATTCAGTTTCATAATTCAAACATTCAAATCGGCACATAATATCAGAAAACTCTGCATCCATTTTTGAATCTAACCATTCCTTAGTTACCTTCTTATCAGGGGTTTAAGAAAAAAACGATCTCTATGTTGCTTTCCTTCTAGATCGTTAGCAGATAATTTCGGGGGGGAAAACTTACACAAGTAGAGGTGTATGAAAGCGAATCGTTTCAGTTTTTTCTTATTGTAGTATTAAAAAGGTGTAAAGAATCCTTAGCAAAAACAGAGTTATGTGAAATTTATTTATTAACAAAGCATACATTTCAGGAATATTCAATTAAAGTTCGACGTTTCAACCCTACTGTTGTTTTATCCCCAGAGCACACCACAGAAATGTCTCGACCAGTTGACATAAAAACCATTCAACCCTGTTCAAATAAACTGTGTCTTCGTTAATGTTCCAATCTCAACATCAACCGTGCAAGGTTTCTGCATCTATGGCTTCGTCAGAAAATTCAACTCGTAAATACTCCAGAACTTTTTTGGAACGCGATATTCGTTGGTAATTTTTTCTCTGCTTTAAGTCTCATAACGAAGCTATGATTTCATAGCCAGAAAAAGATGATAGGAGAAATTTCCGCGAAAATCCTTTCACTCGGTTCTTCATTGTACTTCGGCCTGTGAAATCGTACCGTAGGTTAAAGAACTCGCCTTGTATACAGTTTGTATTCATTCTCGTTCGAGAGAATGTGGTGCACGTTGTACATGACCAGAAGGTAACATTTGCGAGTAGTCGACTTCGTATCACCATCAGCAAGTCGACGTTTCAGTACGTGATGGCGGTTCGAAACGCTCCCTACAAGAAGTACTGAAGTACTTTCTGAAAAAGAGCATCGGTCAGTGTCTGAAATGTGTGTGTCGTTTAATTTTTCCGCGTCATTCTACGTGAAGAGTTTCCGGCTGATATGCGGCTAACATTTCTTTTGTAACGGGGTCAAACGAAGATTGTTGGGAGCCCATGCGATAAGAGGCAGTACGTACGTATGCATGGCTTGAATAAGGAATTTAATCAGGAAAACAATACAATCGTCTGTCGTTTTAGATACCAACGACTCAATAAACTATGATGCGCGCAATCATGCGAAATTGTATTTTAACTTCTGTGCATTTCAATGCAGCTTTTGGCTTTGCGCCAATCAAACCCGGAATGGTCGTCAAGCACATGGTTTATTTTAAATAACGAGTTCAATGCCTGTGGGGAAAACATATCCTTTTTACACACAAAAGTTACTGTTATCAATTGGCCAAACAAAGGCCAAATTTTTTATCATTTGAAAATTTAGTGGTCCTGTATAAAGTCAACAATCAGTTTTGTTATACTTACTTTTCACAAATAAAATTTGTGTGGGTGATTTATTTGGAAACTGTAGGTACATGAAGCTACTTTGTAAATGTTAACTTCTTACAAAAATCAGTTTATAATTACAGTTATTGGTTAAGCATACGATTGATTGATTAATTCATATTGTATTCACATCTTTTGTAGCTGCAAAAAAATTGAGTGCCAGTTTGCCGGTGGACCGCCCTGTACATTGTTATTAAAATATTTATATTATACATGTCGTTTTCATGTCGGCTGGAGCTGCAAGCTTCTGAAGTCGAAAAGAAAATTAAGAACTTAGAAATGTTTACAATGGAGCTTTAATTTTTTGTATACTATTAGGGTTCAGAACATTTCCTGATTTTTTTTAAGAAAATCAAGTTTTAAATTTGTTCTCACATCTTATCGCAATAGTCTTTTGATGTACCTAATATGTTCTCATAAATTTGAAAATGTTTCTCGTGCAACTCTGAAGAATGAAAACCTTACTTATTTTGTCAATATTCCTATTTTTGGATTCTGGAATTAAGAAACTCTTATATTTTTAAACAAATGTAAAGTTTCCCAATCAGACTGAACAACGTCAGCAAAAATGGTAACAATTCCATATATCACCGAATAAAAAAAATAAAAATTAGTAGAACAATGTGTTTGTCATCCAAATTAATCAATTAATTTATGACTTTTAGAAAAGTCTTTGAACATGAATTACTCTGGGTCTTCGACATTCGGCGAAAACGAAGAACTTGCAAATACTTAACACACAAAACTAATTTTCTTGTGTTATGTTATTAGAGCGTTTGGATACATGGAGGATCTTGAACTTATACACAAACTGTTTGTTAATGTTAGGCAGATTGTTTATGTAAACGAATTTACTTAATAGCTACATGAAATCGGGTGAAACCTTCTATACAGGGTGTCTGGCCTAAACCGGCAATCGATACAAACACATTGTAATTAACCCAGGGCAGAAAGACCGATAGGTCGATAGTCTTTTCTAAGAAATAAATATTTTTACTACTACTATACACAAATGTTTTGACTGCAAGAATTCAGTATAAAATGTCACAGTGAAAGATAATTTTTTGTTAAAAACAGAGGTTGAACCGGGCATTATTGACGTAACTAACACATCGACCTAATTCATACGTGATAGTGACGTTAATCATATCAAGTATTTTGTCAACGTCGTATGGATGTGACGAAATCACGTCGTATAGACCTCATAAACGTCAGTGGTCCGTTTTATGACATTTATTTCACGTTTAACCTGCGTCGTTTCGTTGCCTGAGAGAAGTTTTCTAATTAAAACAATCCTTCTGGGAACGATCTTCCAACGGCCTTTTTCTCTACAGATTTTCACTTTACGCCAGTCATACGGTTATTCACTTTTGGGACACCACGTCAGTCTATTACTCTTTGCACTGCGTTTTGGTACGATATGCTTGCCTAGCCATGAACAACAAATTAGATTTTTTTAAAGATTATGGTTAACACTTCAGTGGCCATAAATTTGCTCATCATTTTCTCTTCCTTCTGAAACGCCGATTAACACAGTTTTAGCTGGATGTATAGGATTTGCGCGTTCCAGTTCCAGATAGTTTAGCCAGTCGCACATGATATATCAAATCGCTTAATTGAATTTCGTTTTTTTTTGTGGTTTACTCCTAGGGCTAACTGGGGGTTCAATATCCTCAATAAGCAAATAATAAAATCGACATTTCCTAATTAGTCTTTCCTTTCTACATAACGTACTTGCATAACAAATTATGCACTTTCCAATGATTTGAGCAAATGTGTATAATATTCCTGATCCAAACAACGTTAAACGTGCAAAACCAACATTTTTCACGTTGGCCTAGGTCGGTTCTGTTTATGTGAACGTGGTCACTTGTAAATTGATTATAAAAACAAAAGATCGCCTTCACTTTGTGAGCGCGTACCTCCAAAGTGTAAACAATTTTGGATAAAGTACTGCCTACTATCTCAATGACGATGTTGCCGAATCAGCCTGGATGTATAGAATCTCTTGATTCATATCCTTTTCAAATTTGGAAATGTTCAAGTGGCTAGCAGTACAAACAATAAAGTAATAAGAGAGGAAAGTTACATGTTGAGGATGCAAATGACAAAGAATATAATAAACCCAGTACCCATATTGAACGAACATTCGGTAAAACTTTCGGAAAAAGCAAATTTTATTCAAAAACACAGTATATAATTGTTGTTGGACGCATAAAACATCTGTTATCAGCTGCAATTTTAACTTTTTTGAATATTTTGAATCAATTGTTGGATGTTCATTACAAAAGTTAGGTGTACACATCAACTACATTTTCCCATCTGTACTTTATTTATTTTATAATAAGTTTCTCCAATTTGCAGGCGTAGATTTTGTATAGTTTTCTCCTAAAGTGATTTTTGTAGGCAACATTTTTCCTGGTGTTAATGGTAAATTTCAAGTTAATTCTTTTCTACCAAGAATAATTTCCTTGCGGTTGTCCGCCAAGACGAAAATTTATCTGGCAACTGAAGATAAAAATCAGAATTTCAAGTTAATTTTTTCCTTTGAATTTTCTGGGTATTAAAGATCATCGTTCTTGGATCATCTTCAAACGATCCTCTTTATTCGTCTCATAAAACAGTGAAATCCTATACCGTGTTCGATTAATGACACATCGATTGCCTCGAACGAGTCACGATTTGTTTAGGATTCGCCACTTATTTGTTCACAAATCGAAACAAATAAGTAATTTTTGCACATTGGCGCGTTTACGTGAACATTCGGGGTTAGGAGGCCTTAACCCACATAAAAGGCTAATCAAAAGTGTTAACTCCGTTGTGTAATACAGAGCACTAACCGATGATGTTGAGATAACCATGGACTGATTATTTCACTCAAATGTAAATTTTCCCAATTCGTATTAAAAGTTGCTAATTATTTCTTTTTCATGTTTTAACACGGTGGAATACTGGAAGGGTTTTGAAGAGCTCAATAATTCAGTTGTGGCAGTTTAAAGGTTTCAACGTCCACTCGTAAATGGTTTTTCAACTACGTTTTATGTATTTGGTCATTAAAAATTCACTCGAGTAGAAAAAAAACCATTTTTTTAGGGTCGAAACATGAAAAATGTTGATGACTTTTTTATTTGTTTTTATATTTATTTTAATGGCCATTTATTAATAACATTTTTAAAATTTCTGCAAAATTTCAGAATTTTCCAGTTTTAGTCAAGTTTCTCTTTCTTATAAACGCTCAATTTTCTAAAGTTTCACTTAAAAATGCTGACAATGTTAAGGTAGTTTCCGCGAAAAATTATGAAATAAATGTCGAATCCTTCGTCGGTTTGTAGAAAGTTTTGAAATCCCTTTCCAGCTTCGAATTTGGAACAAAAATCAAATAATGTTCTATCAAAAAAAGAACAGAATAAGCGAAAGTTCAGAACAGATTATTTGGAAATCTCGTCACTTCCATATTTTTGAAGACTTTGTTAAAAGAGAGTTTGTTAAAAAAACGTGTTTTTTAGTTTTGACTGAATTTTTTTGCTTTACTTTATGCTGACAAACGCTCTGTTTTGTAGTTTCACTTAAAAATACGGATGATCTGGAGGTCTTTTACGCGAAAAATTACAAGATAAATTTACAGCTTTTTAAAAATTTTACAAAAACTTTTTTCAGCATCGACTTCGGGACAAAAACCAAAATAAATTCCTC